ATCCACCGCCCAGGATCAAGTGGTACAAGGATGGACAAGATCTATTCAGCGCGATGCCTCAGGGTAAGTAAATACCTGCATACACGCCCCTTTCCTTCAGACGCCATGCCATCGTACGTGGTACTATGCACGTTAAAGTGCATCAGCGAATAAGGTAACGATCGCATGTGTGGCCTCATCCAATCCTTAGTTTTAAGGAACACCTTCTTATCTTATTTAAATAGACTTACGTTAACCACCTTCCTTTTCTACTTCCCGCGTCACGTCACTCTTAAGTCGTACCGTCAGGATGGGCTTCTAACTTAGGATTAGATGTTATTTTCAGAACTTGTTGTAAGGGTTAGGCTTTGGCTATGTGGTTAGGATTACGTGTGAAGTTACCAATGTTGTTAGCCTCAAGTCTATCTTCAGTAGTGGCCCCTTATGCGAGTGAATTTTAACGATCCATTCTTTTCTCTTTATCTTTCAAGTTGATCCGTCATTACGGGGTGAGATCAGTTCACTTTGAATATCTGATCCCTGACCTCGATCTTCATTTTCTGCATCCACTTTCAGTTCCTACTTTCCAGTTCTTTTAAATTACTTGCTTGCGTTTTTACCCTTTATCAACGGACTTAAAAAAGTTAGTGGTGTAGTTGTAATTTTTTGATATTTTGCTTCCCCAGAACAGCTCTATGCCAGTTGCTTTTATGCAACACATAAAACTCCCTTTACTGCTATCTCTATGTAAGAACGAATACTTGCCTCTCGGTGTAATGAGTGGGGCCATATATCTGACAATTGCTGTGAATAATCTCAAAGATCTAATAACTAACATTCTATCCTTTTCATCAGACCGCTTCTCGCTGTCCGCGGATGAGTCCACTCTGACTATTTTCAATGTGCAGCCAGAGGATCAGGGCCAGTTCAAGTGTGAGGCAGAGAACATTCCTGGCGATTGGGATATATCCTACTTCTTGGAGGTTACATGTAAGTTGTGAGCTATTCACTTACTCCACGCGCTAAATATGCACAGTAGATTTCCTAGCTCATTAAATGTCAGCCGAAATTCTTAAATGTGCCTTTAGTTGTCATATTAATTATTATGTGGACTATTTCCAGGAAATTCCAGTCACCTCGGGATGCCAGCTTTTGAATGACTTTCTTTCTGGTAGTCTATAAAAAGCATACTCCGTAAAAAAATGGCTGCTTAAGTGTTACTGCATTCTTCTCATTGATTTTCGATGCGCTTAAAAATTCCAATATATCTTAGATGACACATGGATAAGGCTTTTTTGTACTCGTTTTTTAGCTAAGTACACCTTATTCAAAGTTTATAATTGAAGGAAGGATACCTTTCCGTATTGCAAAAGTTTCTAATTCAGAGCCTTTAAACGCCGTGAAATATCCATTTATAATACATCGTATTTGTCAACTTATTGGTGTTGCCCATAATTTATACGACATAATCCACATCCACAACAAAATTATGTGAGGATTATATGACCTCTTTTGCATAGCGTAGAGAAACGTGTCATTTTCTTTAAAAGGAGTGCATAGCGTCTGCAGTTTGAAAAAAAATCGAATGTAATTGTAACTGCCGATAGAATTTAAATTATTCGGTAATTTACGAAGTTTTTAATCTCTGTCCTTTCGTATAATGGACGTTTCAATCGGTGGCCCATCGAAAATTCGGCCTACGGGAGGTGATAGCACATATATTGCACCCTTGTGGTTCTTTATGTCCCATTTTCTCAGATGGATGAAATCATTTGCAGAAGTATGTAAACCTGCAACAGAATTTATCTCAGTTCGAAATTAGCACATATATCGCGCCCTTGTGGTTCTTTCTGTCCCATTTTCTCAGATGGGTGAAATCATTTGCAGAAGTATCTAACCCTGCAACAGAATTTATCTCAGTTCAAAACTTGACCGCTAAAATAGAAGCATAAACATCAATTACTGAAAATAATAAGTAGTTATTTTATTTTAAAGCTTCGCCAAATATCCTACTCGGCTCCTCTTCACGCGCAAAGGAGCAAGTCAGGCAGGGTAGTGACATACGTCTACGATGCATTGCCACCGGTTCTCCCGAACCCACTTATCAATGGCTGAAAGATGACACCCCTGTCGCCTCCAGCGTCAAGCCCATTACCACGACACACGAGGTCGACAAGCATACCGTTGAGATAACGACGATCAGCTCGAAGTATGTCCTCTTGGACCAAGGCCGCGAACTGGTGGTATCTAAAGTGACTGATCAGGATGCCGGCGTCTACACCTGCGTGGCTATCAATCCCGTTGGTCGTGATCGGCATACAATGAATCTGACAGTACTCGGTACGCCTCAACCCCAACATCTGTAATCTTTTCTAAAATGCGAGCACCTGCGTGCCAGTCCAGCTTATATTTTCTTTTGATGTAAACTCCTATAGCAAGCCCAGTCTTCCACGATGGGCTGGATCATGAGACCCCAGAACTTGTGAAGCACAAGCCGGCCTTCCTCTGGTGCAATGCAACGGGTCATCCTCCTCCGAAGTACAAGTGGTCAGGGGTACGTACTCACGCCCTATTTCTCTTCCTCATCCTTCTCACCATATCCAGTTCGGGGAATATGAGGTCTGAATAGGCTAAGATGGCTTTAATTTAATTTTGATTATGCTGGGAAATTTTCGCACAGCAACATCCTCGCCCTCCCTCTCCAAGTCCACCAGACCCCAGTGGCCGGAGAGGTAGAAAGCGCTGACTTATAAATTTGTACAGGAGAAAGGAATTTCAAGAGAATCCGAACCAGTAATGCCAAACCTGTGTCTAATTTCCGACCAGTAAGAGCCCCGAATATGCTGAGTGGTTAAACATGGCTCACGAAGGTAAATCGGGCACGTTTAAAGAATAAACTAATCTACGATATAGAGAACGTAGAGAGGCGAGACGAGTGAACCTATGAGGGAAATTAGGTTGACGAAACGAATGGTAAAAAAGCAACTTCGATTATTTTTGTACCATTTATGAAGGTAACACTCGTTTCTCGTCACACCTGATTAATATTGCAGTGCTTCCTTCGTAGGCAACTGAAGTTATACCCTGTGTTTTAACATCAACAAGTCCATTGAAGTATGCACGTTGGTAGACATTTAGAATTTAAGTAGGCAGTGTACTCAGAGCACTGTTATCAACAACCAAAGTCCGATGGTTGTTTTTTAATCGCGTCGGGAGTCACCAATTATAGAACTATGATAGGTGGATAAAAAGAAGGTTCTAAAATCTCAAGTCAGTTGCCGAAGGAGTTATAAGACGAGGAAACACTGATTTAGGATAGAAGATGAGTTTAAGGCGGATATTCCAGGGCTCATACTTCTTTAAACCAACCGGTTATTCTTTAGCTCGTTGACTAAATGCAGGTTTGAAGTCCGCTTCAGTGCGATTCACCTAAACATGTGATAGTGATTTAACGTGGCAGCTTGTAAGTAATCCTGAGATGAACATTCCAGATATACACAGTGCAACAGTGTGCGGCCATGGGGTCATCTTCAAAAGGACCTTTCCGGGTCACAGTCGGACTAAAGTTTGTTCCCGACGTTTAAAGTGACCTGTGGATAGCTGGAGAAAGCACTTACAGGCTTCGGGTCAAATCTGAGAGGACACTACCCCTTTGTTTTTCTAGGATATCATATCGGATCAGTCGAACGAGAGGATCCGGTCCGTTGCCTCCGGCCGGGGTCTCTACCTCCCCAACGTCACGCAGGATCTCGTCTCTCGGTACATCTGCAATGCCATCAACGAGGCCGGTGAAGCCAGACGTGTCTTCGATCCGACTCTGATCTGTAAGTTGATACTGAGAGCAAAAAGGGGGGAAGAATGAGTGGATGTCCCATGAATTATCACACTGATTCATGATCATCACTTCCCTTTGGTTCGTCATGAGCATTCATCTTGTGAGCGCCTCTGCCTGACAGTTTGACCACCGCAAACAACGACGCAAACTATGAAATATAGGTGGCAGAGGTGATTTAAGCAGAAATCAGTTTATAGTGAGGCAGGTGTTCGAAGCATCTATCTCACTCACTCCCTCCTTACTCATCCATTAGGGGTTAGGTGGCAAGACAACTTCAAGACGATCAGAATTTTGCTCGTTATATAAGGCATATCGATAAAAGCGCAGAGGGCTATCCCATTGGACTTGCTTGCTCCAACCTCGAAGAGCTTTTTTTCTGTGAGGGAGAGGTCGAAATTACTGAAATTAGTAAAATTACCTCATACATCAGACTGACAGCACAGGTTAAGGCCCAGACACGTGTTTTGCCGATATTCTGCAACTGGATGACACACCTGCCAGGCGTTTAGGTTCAGCAGCGCGTCACCCTAGTGTTCCCTGTGGGCTTTCTTGTCGACAGTCCAGTTATGAAATTGCTGTCTTTTAATT